TGTCAAACACTGAAATGACAATGTGAAATATTGTTACTACAACGTCAAACACTGTAACTATAATGTTATACACTGTAACTACCAAAAAGCTCCTTGGTAACTATGATATTAAACACTGTAATTATACAATGTTAAACACTGTGATGTGTGAAGCACCACCAGGTTTGTGCAAGGTAAAGGCACTCCCTGCCAACCTAGGGGTCCGCTCCATTGGTGAGTATTGATTAATACATCGAGATGATACTTTTTCAACATGGACTCCTTGTCAGTAACAGGGTCTAGTAGTTCATCAGGGACCATAAACAGAAGACCTGTGTGTTTGTCTAAGATTCTCCACAGTTGGATTTTGACAATGGGTAGGCTAATGTTGCTATCCTGAAAAATATTACCTCATTGCACACTGCATGGCATTTCCAGTTTTGATTACCACACACTGGAGCATAAATAAAATCTCATTTCATCTCTTACTGTAACATGAAACATTGTTACTGTAATAAGAAACAAAACAACAATAAAAGCATGTAGCTTATGTGACCAATGCATACAGACCATGCAGTGTAATGAAGAAAATTAAACAGAATAGCAGCATTTAGCTTACTCTTTTCCAATTCTTAACACTCCAAGGATCTCGATCATGAAATACTGCAATGATATGAATAAAGTCATTTTTAAATATAAATTTATTTTTTGTTCAATCTTTTAACATATTTCCAAGGGTTTTTAGCATATTGTACACCAGTAATAAATGTTGTTAAAGCTGTTAAATACCTGAAATAAAAATATTATTCTCATTTAAAATCTCTGATTATTGACTTAAATATTGTGGGACAGTCTTGAATCTTGTGTAAAATCTAAAGTGTGCCCACTCTGCCACAACAAGATTGGCGCTTTGCTAACAGGATTTGTTACCGATTGTTGAATTGTCTGCAAGACAGAGCTTCATCATCCAATCAGATTCATTTTCCTCCAAATGCATGATCCACACATGGTTATCGACGAAGTGGAGATTTTTTGTCTCCTCGTGTGCCCACAGCCATCAAAGACATTCTTGTGCCATATATTAGTCACAATGTTTATATGTAGCTGTCATGCACTTTGTTTTTTAAGTTTGCTAAGTTCTTACCATAGACCTTGTAAAGCTGGATGTTGCATAAAATCAAAAACTGGAGCTGCTAGAGATAGTGATATAGCTGATATCTGTAACATTGTATTAAACTGAAATAAAAATAAAAAATGTTTTCTACACTTATTCAAATTTCTACATTAATGGGCAAAAGACCTTAATCATACATCAGCCATATTGTATCCAGAACGAGGTTCATAACGCAAATATATATAGGTAATGTTGTGTCTTTAACACCTCCTTCTCCATTCTCATAAACTCAAACCATATCAAATTTTACAACAATAACATCAGCTATTTAATGATACCTTCAAATAAAGTTGACCTTCACACATTTCTTAGAAAGGGCAGTTTCAGCCCAGTTTTTCACTGTTGATCAGGTGTTCAGTGATGTCACTATTCATTAACATTTCATCGCCATATTTTCAATAAATAACGTAATTTGTGTTATGAGCCTCGCATTCAATGTGATCAAAACTTGATAGCCAACCTAGTACTGTCAACATATCTTATTCTAAACTACATACAATTACCAAGCATATTCAAACACATCCAGGTCTCACTCAAAACATAAACAATCTACTTTATTTGTGGTTAGAAAAAATTGAAATTGAAACTGAACATATTAAACTTATATTTCCATAAATTTAGACTAAAACATAAGAGCAATAAAATGCAGAGGAACATCAACTCTGAGAACATCCCTATAATTCTACTAAATAGAGTAAATCATCGGCATGTATGGAATTTGGGGCTGAATGAAATGAATCCTAAATTTCTTACCTTACTTAATGTAGAAGGGTAAAGATTAACAGATGCTTTATTTATATTCCAGTATCGGGCAAAGGTTTTCTAACAAAAAAGAAAATCATTCATTATATTAAAGTACGTCTTCAGCAATATGTTTAATAAATCATTGCATTTCTTAGTAAAATGTTTAATAAAGCATTGAATATCTTTAGCAAAATGTTTAATAAATCATTGCATGTCTTAAGCAATATGGTCAATAAATCATTGCATATCTTCCACAAAATGTTTAATAAATCATTGCATATCTTCAACAAAATGTTTAATAAATCATTGCATATCATCCACAAAATGTTTAATAAATCATTGCATGTCTTCAGCAATATGTTTAATAAATCATTGCATATCTTCAGCAATATGATTAATAAATCATTGCATGTCTTAAGAAATATGGTCAATAAATCATTGCATGTCTTCAGCAATATGTTTAATAAATCATTGCATATCTTCAGCAATATGATTAATAAATCATTGCATGTCTTAAGAAATATGGTCAATAAATCATTGCATGTCTTAAGAAATATGGTCAATAAATCATTGCATATCTTCAGCAATATGATTAATAAATCATTGCATATCTTCAACAAAATGTTTAATAAATCATTGCATATCTTCAGCAAAATCTTTAATAAAGCATTGAATATCTTCAGCAAAATGCTTAATAAATCATTGCATGTCTTAAGAAATATGGTCAATAAATCATTGCATATCTTCTGCAAAATGTTTAATAAATCATTGCATGTCTTCAGCAATATGTTTAATAAATCATTGCATATCTTCCACAAAATGTTTAATAAATCATTGCATGTCTTCAGCAATATGTTTAATAAATCATTGCATATCTTCCACAAAATGTTTAATAAATCATTGCATGTCTTCAGCAATATGTTTAATAAATCATTGCATATCTTCCACAAAATGTTTAATAAATCATTGCATATCTTCCACAAAATGTTTAATAAATCATTGCATGTCTTCAGCAATATGATTAATAAATCATTGCATATCTTCCACAAAATGTTTAATAAATCATTGCATATCTTCAGCAAAAACTTTAATAAAGCATTGAATATCTTCAGCAAAATGCTTAGTAAATCATTGCATGTCTTAAGAAATATGGTCAATAAATCATTGCATATCTTCTGCAAAATGTTTAATAAATAATTGCATGTCTTCAGCAATATCTCATTGCATATCTTCCACAAAATGTTTAATAAATCATTGCATATCTTCCACAAAATGTTTAATAAATCATTTCATATCTTCCACAAAATGTTTAATAAATCATTGCATATCTTCCACAAAGTGTTTCATAAATCATTGCATTTCTTCAGCAAATGTTCAATAAATCATTGCATATCTTCAGCAAAATATTTGATAATCATTGCCTGTCTTCAGCAAAAAGTTCATTAAATCATTGTATATCAAAATATTCACTAAATGATTGTATATCTTCAGCAAAATATTCACTAAATGATTGTATATCTTCATCAAAATATTCACTAAATGATTGTATATCTTCAGCAAAATATTTAATAAATCATTGCATGTCTTGTGTTCAATATATCATTGTCAGTACAAATTTCAGCATAAAATCTTTCATAACAATTAATATCATACTCACTGGTGGAGGAAGAGTTTGATAGCGCAGATAAAATACAGCCAATATCAATAACACATCTCTTAATACTATAATAGTAAATAACCACACTGAAAATGACATAAAATACAGCCAATATCAATAACACATCTCTTAATACTATAATACTAAATAACCACACTGAAAATGACATAAAATACAGCCAGTATCAATAACACATCTCTTAATACTGTAATATATACTAAATAACCATTCTGAAAATAACATAAAATACAGCCAGTATCAATAACACATCTCTTAATACTATAATACTAAATAACCACACTGAAAATAACATAAAATACAGCCTGTATCAATAACACATCTCTTAATACTATAATACTAAATAACCACACTGAAAATAACATAAAATATAGCCAGTATCATTAGCACATCTCTTAATACTATAATACTAAATAACCACACTGAAAATAACATAAAATACAGCCTGTATCAGTAACACATCTCTTAATACTGTAATACTAA